ATAATCATTTATTTATCCTAAGGGGGTTTCATCTAGATTGCTAGTGAGTTGGGACCAGCTTAAACCCTGAAACATGAAGCTTACTATCTGCTCCACAAAAGAACAGTTCCAGGCCCTTTGTTTTGTTATTGACACCTAGGCCCTTTGAATTTTGCCCAGGTCTCAGATTCACTGACCTTCTGTGGCATGAGGTCTGCTGTCCAATTATATGGTGAATTAAAAGGCATTTCCTTTCCATGGTTTCCCACTTCTTAGCTTCATTGCTTTGTTCTGAGTTTGAGAATAGTTCTCACAATCTACCTTTACCAGACCATTCATTATTTTGTAAACCTTCATTGCTCTCCTTCTCATTCACCTCCTTTTTAAAGCTGGCAGATTGAATCCCATATCTCCATACAAATGTTTCCAGGCCCTTAACCATTCTCATCACCCTCTTTTCTTTTCCAGCTTTGTAATTCCTTCTGCATATGCCAGATATAGTTCCACCTATGTTATTCCAGATGAAGCAGTATCTTGGTTCTCCATATGCATCACCATCTCATTTCATGTGCGTCCTAATTCCCTGCGTCTCCTTTGTCAGCACAGCCACAGGCTGAGCAGTGGTTTTCATTAGCCTGTTTACAACAACGTCTTTCTCAAGTGGTATGGTTGGCTTAGAACTTGCAAGGTATATAGATTGTTTATGTTCTCCTCCTACTCTCTACCCCCAGTTCAACTTACCTTTCAGTCTTCAATATGGAGTTTCTTTTGCTGTTAGGGTGACTTAACATACTTAGCTCAGTCAGATGTTCTTCACTGTCCTCCCTGGTCCCGACTAACCCAAATAAGTTGGTGCCATCTCCACTTTTTTCTTTCTTACTGTTTACTCTTTTTGACAGATATTTTAATAAACAGATTAAGCAACACAGAATTGTTGCACAGAGGGACTGTCCAAGGTTAACAAAAGTCTGAGCAAGCCTATTACACAAAATTGTTTATGAAAACCAGGGAAGCTGGAGACAGATAGACTGGTACGTGCTGGATTATTTATATGGAGAACACAATGATAAAGGGGTTATCGAGGCTCCTGGAAGGTCAGCATTGGCTGGAAAATGAGCTAAGCAATTCCGAAAATGGGAAGAAATGTTTCATTGTTGGAAGCAGAGAGATGAGTTTCAATTGACTAACCTAAATGGGATGAGATTGGCAGCCCATCTTGTACACTGTTTATCTGGGACTTGCCAAATGGATGGGGAGGAAAACATGGGAACTTTCAATTCATGACTTCTAGTCCTTGGGACAATAAACCGTGCCTTGATATTGGTGGAAATTTGCTGTCCTAATGCTGAGAGACGTCCTGACTGGACCAGCTAAAGAAAGGGAATCAGATTTCATCTTCACCTCTACTGTGTCTGCCAACAGCCAACACAAGGCCTCTCAGAGACGCGGGCAAAGCCAGATTTCAAGCCTCAGTGATGAAGGATTAGGGTAAGGGCCAGCCCAAGGTATTTGTCCCACTGGGAGGGGAACAGCAAAGGGAAAGAATGGAGCTGCAGCAGGGAGCTGGGGAGAGAACAGCAATTTTAACCACGTTGTAACCACAAAAAGAAGGTTGTCGTTAACATCTTATCCTATCGTGGGCTCAACCAGCCCAATTATCAGCATAACAGGACCTGGTTTAGCATCCTGAAGTCCCTTCTGTGCACTATTTGCAAGAATTAAAATTAACATCTCTCTTATCTGCCTCTTTATCGGAGGCCAGTTTCTGCTCCACAATGAAACTTTGCCTCTTTCCCCCTTTATGCTTCCTTTGCTTAATGACTCTTGTTTGCTACCTTGCCTAAAGCTTTGTGACAGTCTAGCTACATTATTTTGACGTATTGCCTATTATCTACCGCTTTATGAAAGAATTCTCAAAGAGATAGTGGGGAAAGAATCAGAAGGAAGATAAATAGAACATTCTTCTTTGCAAAAAACTGTGGTAGGTGTTCTTAAGCCATAGCTCTGTTGATTTATTAGTGTTTTATATCATTATTTAAATCATTCCTTGAGATAATTTGTAAGGTCCATAGTTTACTTGTCTACATTTTTGCATTACTTTTATAACCTTTATAAACATAGATTTTGCATTTGTTACACACAAATCCACTGGAGCAATAACTCTTTCTAAATTGCACTTTTTTCTTGGCAGCTGAGCTGCTTCCTAAATTAAGTTCATTGGATGTAGCCATCTGTGTTTGGGGACTTAATGTAGCAAAGAAGGACAACAGAGACAGTGTTGTGACTCTGGCAGATTTAATTGCTGAAAGTGGGGAACTTCTTCAACTAGATATAGTTTTTCCTGATAATAAATATAGGGGATTTGAAGAGACAAAAAACAATGATTAAATCAGTGATCACTGACATTTAAAAAAATTATTAAGTCCCCAAACACAGATGGCTACATCCAATGAACTTAATTTAGGAAGCAGCTCAGCTGCCAAGAAAAAAGAAACTTCTGATGATCAATAGAGCCCATCAATTCTTTGGTAAGGTTCCTTCTTCTGATAAACTTAAAGGATTTGTTTCATTCTTCCCTCTATTCACTCTTCAAAATCCATTCTGTCCTTTCTAAGTTTCCTTTTGTTACTTGCACAAAAGTCTTCCTAAATGTCAGATTTCCAAATTTGGAAGTTGTTTCTCTGTGTGTTTTCAACATTCTCTTTTACTTTGCCACTTAACTCTAGAAGCTTATTTATTTCTTGCATTGCTGATTCAGAAGAAGATCAGAAATGTATATATGCCTTCTGGAAAACAATGTTCTCTTAAATAACTTCCATACATTTTAATGCTATGGAGCTTTTGATTGATTTTCTCATTTTATTGAAACCACCTTTTCTAATTGTTTGTATCAAATCATTACTTTTTGATACCACATCTGTCCCTTGGATTTCAAAACTAATAGTGTGTGTTCACTTCCTGAATTTGTACCTGGGTGTTTCTTGAGACAAAGTAAAGCTGTTGTCTCCTGCTTCACTTGGATTTTGCTCTTCCAGGAAGCAGTCACCTAAAAAGACGGGAAACTTTCTCTGAATTGCTGTCCCACTGTGCTGTTTGACTTGCTTCTTGATAGCTGTAGTCTCACATTATTGTGACTTGTTGCTCCTTCCATGCCTCTCAATACCATGCACACACTTTTTAAAGTTCTCATTTTTTCTTGGACCAGAGGCTGGTATAGACAGCCCTGATAATATATATGGGGTGCTGTGGATACCCGTAGGATATCTGAGCATTCATACTTCTATGGATTCAGCACTGCTGGGCTTTTAATTTTCTTGATTCTATATACAGATATATGCAGGTTTTGTTCTTGGTGAAGAGCCTTTTCTTATTTAATTCTTCTATTTGGCATCCAGTCTCTACAGGACCATTTATTTTGTTCTTATTTTGGCCCTATTTTGGGCTTGTTGTAATTCAGTCTAATATATTACAAACATAGAAAAAAGATGCATCTGCTAGCTTCCCTTTTGCTCTTAGTTTAAACACTCTGTTTCTTGGTTATTTCAGATGGCAGTTGTTGATTCCACTTTAGTGAGAGTAAATACTATGCCTCCTGTATAGTTTTCCCTGCCCCAAAGCTTTTTAGTGTCTATCAAAAGTTTACCCGCTCACTCAAGCTAAAACCTGTTTTGGAGTTACCCTGAGTGCAGTTCATGCTGGGGACCTGGTTTAGCAGGAGCGGACTGTCATTACGACAGAGGTAGAGAGCCAGAGAGTCCTTTCCCGCCGCTCTCTGTCTCAAATGGAAACTTGTCGAGTGCGTTGCAGTCAGTGTTACCCCTCAGTCTGCTGACTCTCCTGTTGTTTCCTTTGTGCAAACTTCTGTTGCAGTCAACTCCTCCTGCTTGGCTCCCTGCTAGATACTGAAAGAGGTGTTGCGCATATACCTGGAGACAGCTCACTGTCACAGACTGTACTCTGGTGTGTTCCGTTTACACAGAACTGCCACTGGGAAATACGGCACTAAGATTATATACACTCTGTACTCAAAATGAATGTGGCATGAGGAGCCCTAAAGGGTCATCTTAAAGCCAAATATGACAGGTTTCTATATGAATTCAACATTGGTCAAGCCTCCTCCTGATGAAAGGGGTGAAGGACCTCTCCAAAGAAGCAAGCCTGCAGTAAGAAATGGAACAACTCTTGGTGGAGATTCTCACTATCCTGTTTGGGAAGCCCAGATTTTTCATCAGGGATGCAAAGACTGAAATGAAATCTATACTGAGGGCTGGTGTTTGTGGAGATGAAGTCAGGAGTAACAAGCACCTCTAAAAGAGGCTATCTTCAATATAGATCCGAAATGGGATTTAGTTTACCAAGCCAGGGTGTCTAGATGCATGGCCCATGCTACCAGTGTGATATCACAGTTACACGGAAGAAGAAGAAGGGAGAGAGAGCCACTTCTCAGGGGTACCCACTGCAGAGAGGACTTTGAAGAGCAGGAGTGAGTCTATCCAATACACTCCCACACGGGACTGTTCACTTCTGTGAGACATGTGACTGCCTGACAGCTACTCAGAGGAGAGAAAGAAACAAGTCTGGGAAAACATCTTGTCCAAAATATCTCTATATTCTCATACCCAAGACCTCAGCGGTGATGGGGTAGATCCAGCAGTTATGACAAGCTGACTCATTTTGGAAACAACCAGATCTGCTATAAGCTGTCTGTCCTCTTCCACATGCTCCCCAATCAGAGGCATTGAGCTGTCCATCACCTGCCACAAGAGGGAAAAACAACAGTTATAAGGAGAGCTCCCAACGGCAGATGCTGTTTTCAGCTTACCCTCTCACAGTGATCTGCTTTGTGACCCCACATCCTTGACAACACCTCTAGTCAGTCAGTACCCTGTGTGCTGAAACACACTTGACTCTCCCAGGGGTGGGATCTGTCTTAGTTTTTTTTGGAAATGGTACATACTTCCCCCCTCCCCATCGTACTTCCCCTCACAACCTGGATGCCAAGCCAAGACTTCTGGTGGCCAAAGACTTTATAAATCAGCTAAACACGAACTGGTTTCTTCACATGCCCTGAAGAGATGCTTCTCATGGATGAGGTTTCTCTGGCACTGTGCCATGGCATTTAGGGATGACATCATTGCAGCAGAAAGGGCCACAGGCAGGCACAGGAGAAGGGAAACAAAATGTACAGACACCTGTGGAGATTAAAGCAGCAGGGGCTAGAGGAAACCAGGAAACATTTGGGATTAATCAATGCAAAGCAGTGCACCCTGCAAGGGGAAATAAACACAACAGATGTATAATAAATAGGATGTCACCAAAACAGCAGCACCCAATACAGGAAAGTAAACATTTTCTCTCTTGCCTTCTTGACACTGTTGTGATATGACTGCTTCCCAAACAAGCGCTGGAGAAAACAACAGTGTAGGGAGGGGAGAAGGAGAGCCAGCAAAGGCTCTTTAAGGTAAGAAATCCTCTGACAACAATAATAACACTGAAAGCACAGCTGACCCTCAGCTGTACAGCAGCCCTAAACATCATTTTCAACAGTTCATCATAAATCAAGTACTTCACAAACATTAGCTAAATCCCACAGGAAAAACTGCACAATGATGAAGTTAAGATTCAGTTGGAGTAAATATAATTGTACTAAAATATCAGGGTTGAAAGAGTTTATTTTCTTTTGCTTTATTTTTAAACCAAACATTAAAAACCTTGGAAATGCAGAGTTAAAGGCTGCACTGGTCTAGAAAGGCACTGACTCATACTCAGATAACAATCACAAGTGCACTCCACCCCAGCAAGGCTGCAGCCGAGTCCACTCTTTGAGGGAAGTGGAAAGTTTTGCACTTTTTTCGCAGTTAAAATGGGGGTAGTCTGTTAGTGAAGTGAGTTCATCGAGTTCCTATTCTAGCATCATCCTATGCAACAGCTTGTTAACTTGGATTGATTTTTGTAGGTGTCTCATATGAAGAGTGAAGAAGCTGCGAAGGAAGCTTTAACTTAGAGTTCTCATGAAGAACGAGCTGTGTGTTTATAGTCATGGACAGCTTGACCTAGGGTGCATAAGGAGGTCAGAAAAATAAATGGAAATGCTCAGCTATATACATGAAATGGCTTTTCATCCCACTGTCCATCTTTCTGTTTCCCTGTTAAAAAAGGAGATGGGGAAAGGAGATGGTTCCCAGAGACATTAACCACGGTGGCAGGGAACAGCCAGGTCCCTTCTGCCTCCCACCAACCCAGGGGACTCCTGGGGGCTCTCCAGCAGGTTGCTGCACAGGTCTCCCTCCTCTCAACTCCCCTGCAAAAGCATTCTCATTTCATTTAGCAATCCCTGTTCATGTGTAAGAAAAGAGGTCTCTCAGCTCACTTTAATGCGCCATGCGAGGGACCTATCTGACCACTAGATGATGCCATTACTCTCCTAACAGCTGGCCAGCCAAGTTTAGCTTGGAGATTCCCTAACCCTCCCTGTTAGTAATAGGGATACAGCTGTATTCAAAAGATAGAATAAAATATAAACTAAAACAAAAAACAAAAAACCAGCCCTCATTTACCTATCTTAAGAAATACCCTTCCTCATTTCTGTGGCAACAGTCGGCTGGAGTGGAAAGGGAAGATGCTGTTTTAAAAAACAAAGGCACCAGCAGGGACTGAACCCTAGAGCAAGTCCCACCTGAGTCAAGTGAAGCTGTACCAGGGATCAGAGTATATTCTGTCTTGCTGTGTAGTATCTGGCAGAGGGAATGTGAGATGTGGGAGTTTGTGAATACGGGCATGGAGAATCACTGCATAAGGAAAGGCCTTTGAAAATGGCAGTGATTTCCATGAGCAAAATGATACAGCTGGTTACTACTCATCTGAAAAGGAGCATGAGCTGTCACTTTGTCCTCCAGAAAACGGGAACTGCTCTGGAATTGGGCAGATATGAATGCTAGTGTTGAAATAAATCAAACGGCTGGAAGGAATACACAAATTGCAGACCGATTGAGCTCGTTTCTTCCTGAGGAGCTCACAGAACAGCTGGACAAGAAGATGTCGGCATGTATGGACCCAGGCTTTGTAGCTACACAAGGTCAGTGGCTGCTCCTGCTGCAGATGTTGTTGCCTGATAAGGAGTATGGGGGGAGCGGAAGGCAGCAGGGCAGAGAAAAGACTCAGGAAAACCCCATCCCGCTCCTGCCCCTGTGCCTATCTGATGCTGAGGCCTGAAAGCTGGACTTCTTATTCCATGCCCTGATGTGCCAGAGTGGGGTGTTGGGTGATTTTTAAGGAAGGCAGGAAGGAAGGGAACAGATGACATATCAAAACAGACACGTCAAAAGGACTGATATGGCAGTGGCGAAGGTAGGGGCAGAGCTTCATGCAGGGCAGCAATAAGCATGTCTAGCAACATAGCTTGCTATATGGTAGGTAGGGCTTAGCTGGGTACCTGATCCAGGTGGAGGAATCAATTGCATGGGTCATTTTACTTGCCCTCCACCTGCTCCATATTTGTCAGCACAGCAGAGCTGTAGGAAGGGGTTAGAGTACCAGAAAAAGAGTGTGTGTGGGGGGGAATTATTAAGCCTTCGTCATCCAGCATATACATGCTGCTGAGCTCTTTTGAGAATCTGGCTGCTAAAGGCGGTACCTAGCTTGTGCTAGTTTGATGATCTGGCCTTCTCAATGAGCGCTGAACCCTGCTGAATATTCCCTTAAAGTGACCAAGTTCTTTAAAGCAGGTGAAAAATAAGTACCAGCATTCAGAGTCAAATTCACAGGTGCTTTAATAAAATGAAACTTCGAAGAAATCAGTAGATTTCTTGTTAGGGCTGAATGAGCCTTGAAAACAGTCTAAAGCGCGCTAGTGTTTTGTAGGGCAGAAAGGTGGCAGGTTCTGCTGTTCACCATGGGAACAAAATTGAAGGTGAAGTTCAAGTAATATCAAATACCCTGGTTTCACAGATTACTCTTGTGCTGTGCTGATAACTCATCTCTCTTAATCTGATTCCACTTGCAACAAACCACTGCGATGAATCTCAGTTCACAGAACTGCCCATTGCTCCATCTGCAAAGCTTTTCTTAGAGAACTACATTGCACTGTGAAAATTAATTACTGCCTGCAATTGCATTGTGCAAATTCCCTATTTGTTCAGCCCACTGACACCTGCTTTCTTGTAAAATGTCACAGCAGACTGTTCCTTCTCACCAAGAGAAATACAAGTGTCACACTGTCAAAAAACTTTTTTTTTCCCAACTACCAAAAGAAAAAAGCAAAATAAAGGATCAGTTTCAGACCAAGAAAAGTACCCAGGGAAGTAGGCTGGAGGCAATTAATTTCTTTTCAGCTTCTCCCTCAGATCTGCATAAAGTAGAAAAGGTGCCTGCTTGGCTTTGTTCCGCTCCTTTATATTGCACGTACTCTACTCCTTTCCGGACAACGTCTGTCAATCTGGCATCTGAATGCTTGCTAGAGGTTTGTACATCAGACCTGCTCAGTCAGGTTCTCAGGTGGTGTAATTCAGCCTGAATCATCTGAAGTTGATGTATTCTTATTTGTACACTATTAGGTCTATTGCTTTTTACCTTGGCCTGGAGGGAGAGGAGTGTAAGTGTACATTTTTGCCCTGTGCAACATGATGATGGCTGCTACCATATGGATGTGCCTTTCATGTAGCCACTCACACACATGTGAAAACCCGGAGGTGTATCTAGACAGAGGCATATAATGCTTAAGCACAGAATCTGCCATGGTGCATGTACATAAGCTGATGGGCAAGAATAGATGTAGGGATCTGAAACCAATCTCACGTCTGACCATGTATGGACACAGTCCAAATGTCCTTAGACTCCTCTCCTAGCAAGACTTCTGTCTCGCTCTTCCTTTCCCAGTCCCATGTGCGTAGTGACTTAAAAATACATGGCAAGGAGACAGTTTGCTTTGGGGGATGCTCCTCTAGGTGCTGATGAATTGCACACAGGAGCAGACCCATCGGCCACAACCTCAACGCTACAGGAAAGATGGAGGCTTGCCAGCGTTTCGTTGCTGGCAGTGCGCTTATATCACATGGCCTTTGACAGGTCACTGCTCCCCAGAGAGTAGATACATAACACTGGAATGCACAGTCGCCGGAGGGCTCATGTGGTTCTCATCAGCATCCCAACCCTCAGCGGGTGGGACTGCTCTCCCACACATAGCTTTCCAGTGTGTCAGCACCCCTGCATGAAGCCATAGGCTGGCCCTGCTCATCTTCCTCGGCTGGCCTGTGCTCGCAGAGTTTACAGCAGGTCAGATGCTGTGCCTCTCTTCCAATCACATAGTGACAGAGGCACTTGCTTACTTGCTAGATATTCTCTCCCCTGGAGAGTCTCCTAAGTTTCCACTTTGATTTTCTGGCCATCTTTTCCTTCTCTGCCCTGTTACAATGACCTGAATGTGCTATCTACCCTACTCTCACTTGTGTCTCCTGGCCTGGTAAGGAGTATGCTGAAGCTTAGCTTTCCTAGCCGCAGTTTGTCCAGTGAATGGGGTCCCAAACACAAGAGTTTGTAGTCCACACTGCCCATAGCCACTCTGTTGTGGTTTTTCTTACTAGTCTGTTATTGTAGTGAATGCTGGTCTGGACAAAAGATTTAAATGAATACACCTGATTTTTAGTTAAATTGTTCTTGCTATTTATGGACATCTTTGTTACACTCTCCCTGTTTATTCTACCCTCTTAAATAAGATGCTGGTACGAGTTTTATTATTGGGATTCCATTTAAAGTGATTGCAGAAAGACAGGTTCATTCGGAGAGAAACAGGTTTTTAATGGGCTGAAAGACCTGCTGGACCCACATCTCCCTGTGGATAATGGAGGGAGGTTAACATGACTGATAGGCTAACATCATCTAGAGCTTGAATTCAGGTTGGGCTGAATCTGGGCATGCTCATTCTTGAAGCTGCTGATAACTGCTTCCAGCTACAGAGATGTGCTTGCTTTACAGGTGCTCCGCCTAGGAAGGATAGTGCTGGGGCATCAGTGCGATGAGACATACACCAAGCTTTAGATGCTGCCAACAGCACTCTCTGAGGATTGTGGCCTCGGTAAGAAGGCAGCTCTGCATCTAGCCCCATGCTGGTAGGTGCTGCGCTGTGGGGATTTGCTGGCTGGAAAGCTAGAGTGGCCAAGCAGTCTTTGCTTCCCCATTTCCTGACACAGCCTACACTGACACGTGAAGGCCCTTTAACAGTGAGCCCTTTCTGCATATCTGCCAGTTTAACTGGGACTCTGAATTGGCCCCCTGCATATCAGAGTGCCACAGTTTGGAGGAAATAGGTGGGCATTGAGGAGCAGTGACTGCTGGACCATGCACACAGACGTACACGAGCACATGGGTGCCTGTGAATCCTGATGGAGAGTTTATGCAGATATACTTCCCTAAGGAGACTTGCATTTGAGTTTCCCATGCTCTCACCTCAATGATATAGTCTTTTCCATCTTTGCTGTGGACAGCTTTGACGGCACAAATATCAAGACCTCCAAACATTTCTGCGCAGGCGTCCGCCCAGAGTCTGTACCTGCAGAAACCATAGAGGCATGGCCTGGAATTAACTATCATTGGGTATTCCACCAGATATATTCGCCCATCCCTCTGCCCTAGGAGCACATAAAAATTCTGGAGTGTTTTTTTATTGTAGCACAAACTTTATATGCTTTGCTAGTGCATTGCCTCAGTCTGTTGCACAGGAGATGTACCAGAAAAAGGAATCTTGCTAACATTTTCATTTATTCCGGATTATTTCAAACCTGCCCTCAAAACCACCTTAAAATATTTCTTTCCCCCCTTGGTATTTACATCAGATCTCCAGTTGGTTGTCATTTAGCCAAGTTATAAATATTTAGCTCATTTAATCTCCCAGAAGAGTTGGCCCCTTAGCGTTTGTATTGGCTTTGCCTGAAAGCCCTCCATTATGCAGGCAGACTTCTCCTGATAAGAAGTCCAGCACATCAGGGCTGGAGTAAGACTGGAAAGTCAGTGCAGAATTTAGCAGGGTGTAGCCACCTCCTCCCCGATCTGTGACCTAATGACTCCTGTTTTTCATAATTTACTCTTTCCATTTCATTCTTTTGCATTCTCCTACTTCCCCTCCTATCCCTTGGGCATTCCTCCTAGCCAGGTACTCCCTTCCCATGGACTAGGCACTGCTTCATCAGAAGGAGATACATGCTACGGCCCTTGTCTCCAGCTGTCCCAGACTGGGAAATGAGCTGATATGAACAAGGACCACGTCTGATGGGTGCTCCCTTAGATATTCCTGTGTCAAAGGAGGAGAGAGAATGACAAGAGCCATATTATGAGGGGACCACATGCCCTTGTTGTACAAAAGAGGAGGGAAAGAGGCGGCCTGGTTTTATTTCCTGTGCAGCTGCACTGCAGTCCTGATCATTTCAATAAAAATAATAATCTCAGCAGATCTGTAAGCAGGACTACAATAAGATGCGGGGAGCAGAGGGAAGGCCGCGGTCTTGTGAAAACATTGACGTTTTGCAGACCCTACAGGGAATGGGAAAAGAGCTGTTCTGGCCAAAGAACAAGTTTATATCCTTGAAGCCAGCCAGAGTCCCCATAACATGAAAATATAATGATCAACTTGTGTGAACACAGTATCTGCAGAAAGAAGCAAGAAAATGGCTTATATGACTACCAGTGTTCTCTTATCCCTAATGAGGAGACCACGCATGTTCACCCCAGCACCCATGAAGAAGAGAGAACATGAGGAGTGAATAGCATGAGGAGGAAAGCTACGGACCCTGTGAAACAGGCAGGATGCGTTGTGAGCCCGCTGTGTGCACTGCTGTGGCTGGGCACCCAGGTATACCATCGCAGCAACCACCTCTCTTCCTGAGGGATGTCTATAGGTGTCTGGGTTCAGGAGCCAGGCTAAGAGGGTTGTTGCCCCTGCCAGAGTCCCTGCTAGCTATCTGTCTTGAACAGCGCTGGCCTTAGGCGAGCCCAGGGAGGCATCAGGGCCGCTGGGGTGGAATAGCAGGGCTATGGGGCAGAAGAGCATATTTATGCATGTGCATCAGGAGTAACATTTGCAGAGGGTGTACTCTCATCGTACCTGGAACTGTCCATCCTTTGCTTCTGTTACTGCTCAGTGCTATAGGTCCTTAAGCTTGTTGCTACTCAAATGGGACTGCTGCACTTAATGGGATTTGAACATTTGCTGCCTCTGTTGCAGGATAAGGCTAGCCTGGCAAATTGGGGCATTATCCTTATAAAGTGAACTTTCAAACTGTATCCTGAGAGGTTAGGAGGAATCTGGGCTTTAATGCTGCACGCTGCAGTGAGGGAACTTTGCCCCTTCGCCCCTTCAGCTATGTTGTAGACAACCAGGATCCTTAATAATGTTCAGATCCTACAGTCCCATTAGGGCCTTGCTGAGCCCCCTTCAGCATCAGATTTGAGGCCTAGCTTGCTTTTCCTGTTTCACAGAACTATAGCTGCAGAAGGTACCTTCGATGGTCACCTGCACCATGCTGCTACCCCCAAACAGGGAAGAGCTGTATCTGTGTCATCCTTGAAAGGCATTTCTCTCATCTAGTTTTGAAAAAGGCAATCCATTGCTGTGCTTTGCTATCTTTACTGCTAGGAAATATTTCCTAATGTCCAAATGAACCTTTTTTTGCTATAATTTAAGCCCATTATTTCTTACCCTACTGTACCACTAATATGGAGAGTGGGACATGCCCTACTAGCAGCCTTTTATGTATTTGCCCTTTAAGTCCTCTTTCCTTTAGGGTAAAGTGGATGACTTCTCCTACCTTTGTGAAAGCTAATGAAGGAAAGCAAGCATATATATTCACTATGCACAAGTCCACACTTCTACAAGAAAAATATCAGTGATCTGCTAACTGAAAAAGGTAGAAAACTACGGGGGCAATTGTGGCATTCTTTCCTCATATGCTGATTATATTTTATCCTGTGAGCATTCCCATTGCTGTCCTTTCGACTCTCTCCAACTCGCTGATATCTTTCTTCAGGTGTGGTGCCCAAACCTGGACAGTGACAGAATTCAAAATGAACCTGGCAAACTGGAGAAACAATCTGAAAAAATCCTGGACGCAATAAGGAGCAGTGCCTACACATAATCTATGTATCTACAAATTTATGAATTATCTGCTGCATTAAAACAATAGGTTGGGGAACAAGTGACTTGGTAGCAGCTTTGCAGAAAAAGTGTGTGGCAGCCATAGTTTGAGCACAGGTTGCCATGAGTCAACAATGTCATGCACTTGCAATATAAGCAAATATCACGCTGGTGTGAATATATGGAAGTACCAGCTGCAAAGTTCAGTTTGTGAGCTGCATGAAGCAATTCCTTCTGCTATGTTCAGCAGTGAGAAGACCTTAGCTGAAACACTATGTCCACTTTTGGGAGACTAATGTGAAAAATGCTATGAACACTTAAGCTGACAGATTTTTCTTTCTGCTGAGCAGAAGAAAAAACCTTTTCTATCTGCTTCTTGTAAGTAATGTACTTAGAAAAACTTCCTGCTACTTCTTGTTTTGTGCTGTGACCTTTCTGATTTTATCCCTACATGTTTGTGCTTGTGAGCTTGACCTTAGTATGCTGGTCTAGTTTCCTGTGGCTACATTCGGTAAAGCTCTAATGATTTAGCAATATTGGTCTCTAGCTGTCCTTCCAGTCTGTTTTCCAAATTAGGAAAGTTTGCTTCTGTGCCCTTAATATTTTTTTAAGGAAACACTCGGTCTTTTAAACTCCTTTATCCAGCCTCCCAGGAGACTTCACCTACCAGTTCTCTCAATTAACTGAAGTCTGAAATACAATTCGTCCTTTTTAAACCAAGAATAGCTAATACTGTCTTTGAAACCCTCTTCTCTTCCTTACCTCTCTGTCATTGCAATCTGTTCTAGCATGGCAGAACCTGTATTTGCCTTCCAGTTTCCAGAGATGGATGTCCTCCTAGAAAAACAAACCAAAAACATAACCAGAACATGCAAATACACTCCTTCCCCATCCTCCCTCTTACTGTAGCCCTCATTCTTGACTCAGTGCTTGTGCAGGAGGGGATGTGGTGAGCTTCTTCCTCACAGAAGTCTTTTCAAATCTTGCCTCAATAGCCCTTCACACAGAATATGTTGTTCAGACTCATGAAAGACTGCATGAGGAGTTAGGGAAAACTCTAAGGTATCTTCAGCCCATGTCTGGTGGATGATCAGTATTAGCTTTGTGAGTACTTTCTTTATACCTCAGGCCCAAGACAGCTCAGACGCGTGTAGAGGAAGTCTAGGATAATCAGCCTTGTCTTCTATAATGGTAGCAACCTCTCTTCCTGGAAGAGCAACTCTCCAGGCAAACATATGACTGAACAGCTCCAGAAATATCAGCTATAGCATTCTGGGTCTCCCTGACTTTGACTTCAATTGTACTAGTGGCATAGAAAATAAGATTATGCCTTCTCTTCCACTGGCTTTTTGTTGGCCTTTCAGTGGCTCACTCTGTCTGGCCTCAGAGAATTTATAATTATAAAATGATTGGACTTTCTCTAGCTGCAACTAACTGTTAATTTCCAGGGAAGATACTGACAGATTCTAGGTTTCACCATCATGCATCAAGGGGTAAACAATTTCCTTTCCTTGACCTTAGGCACAGGGTAAATCTTGGACAGGTTGCTGTGGCAATAGTACGCATATAACCCTGGTAGAGTGTACAATCTAGGACAGGTCAGCATGCTGACAGGATACATCCAAGGACTGTCTCCATGTTACAGGAGATTTAGCCTGTGATTTAGGAAGGGATCATGAGGGGCGATCCAATGCTTCAATATGGCGTTGTGGAAATCCTTCCTGCCCTTTCTGTCACCTTTTCAACAAGATGTAGAAAAGAAACTCTGAACTTTTTTGCTCATTAAAGACTATGTGGAACAGTGGAGATACTGATGCGCTGCCGAAATGTAAACCTGGATCATTACGGTGGACTACCTAGAATTTCCCTTCACCCTGGTGAAGGACTCCCCAGTGTCCTTTTTCCTGTTCTCTTCTAACCTGATATGTATAGTTGCTGTGAAATTTAAATAGACTTTATAACGCATCTTTAAAGGAATGGCCAGAGGGGCAAAGGAGAATGGTTACTGTATTGAATAATTGTGCTTTCATATAGTTGACTCTGGCACTTGGTTCCCTTCACCCACATGCATCTTCCTGTCCTACTTTCTAAGCAAAAGGATAGATTTCTCCATCAGCTTTGATCGTTATGAGCCCTTTGATTATGTAAGCACAGCATCTCTTTTGCTTTTTACATGGCCTGGTTCTTAGGATTATGTTACTCAGTTCTGCAGTGAGAACCATTTTTTATTAATATATAGATCCATAAAATTGCCATATAGCAGCAGATGGCACCAAAATCCCATTAGTACTGATGAGAACTTCCAGAGTCTGATTACTAACAAGATGATTAAATATCAGTGTTTAGAATATGAATCTGGAATACTGAATATAAGCAGCTGAGTTGTCCCTAAGAAAACCAAACCATAGCTGTCTAGTTTTGAAGGGAAATTTGGCTTGAGAAAGCTCCAGAAATAAGAACTCTGCTCTGATAATTGGTCTGATTGGCGTGACTTGTTTATGCCTATGTATCTCCAGCCAAAGTACAATATTGGGCCTAACGTATCAAATATTTCTCTTAGGTGTATTCCAAACTGTTTTTAAATGGAAAAGCTTCGTTTGCAGCCATCCTGACCAATCACCAGCCTCTGTCAAGACCACTCTCTTCCCAGCATAACAGAGCAATTCCAGTTTGAAGTGTGCCACCAAGTTATTTTTCTTCTCTGCCCCCCCCACCCCCCATTTTTATTCAGCCTGAGGTGGAAGGAGAGATTGAAAACTGCAGTGTTTCCCTAAGGATGCTCTGCTCCCAATCCCATTTCTGTTAGGGACTCAAAGTTTGTCTAATCACCCTAAATGCCAAGGGGCCATATCAGTGTATAGACATCATCTTAAATAAAAGGACCCAGGGTTTTAGGACCTGGTAGGTCAAGTAGATTTGTAGCCCAGACACCTTCAGCATTGCTTAGGATACGTGGACAGACTTGCAGATTCTTGACTGCCAGTGTCCTATGCTCACCATCTTCCAGCTGAGCTGTTTCAGTCTAGAAGTAGTGTAGAGGTTTCTAGCCCCCTGAAGAACATATAGCTATGAACCACGTTTGAAGTGACAAAAGCAGAAGCCATGCTCATGAAACTAGAAAGGAAAGGATATGATCCTCTTGCTAAGAGCTGATGGCAAAGACTATCCCATACCTGATAATCAGCAGCTGCTGGTAATCCAAAGTGAACAACGTTTCACAAGCCTTAACTGGCAATGGTCCCTCTGCTCCCCCAAGTTGGGTAGAGGGTGTACAATTTCTGCCCCTGTTTCCCCCGCTGCATGAGCAATATTCATGTTTTCTCCTCGCCAGTATTACAATGTCAATCAAATACACTCAGTGGAATTTTAGGCATGTATCATATGCTGCTTATCTGCTGTTTTGAGGATGGCCCAAAGCAGGGGCTAAGTGGGTGTTTGTTAGCAGTGTAAATCTGGAGTCACTGCACTGAAGTCAATGGGAAACTGAACTCAAGCCCTGGGTCATGAGCTGGAAGGAAGTGCATTGAGCATCTGGGATGGTGAGGAATGCATGAGTCACTCTGCAGCATCCTCCCTCTGGCAGATGCTTGGTGCAAAGTAAACATATTTTGGAGAAGTTCAATACACAGTTCTTTCTCAGAAAGAAGGGGACTTTTAAAGTCTAAATGTGTGGGTGAAGGTATAAAAATATTGGGTAGATTCCATGGCTCACGGATCAAAGCAATTCTCCACTGGTCTGACGCTACAGCAGATGCTGTAAGTGCCTTTAAGGCTGAGATTTGCTGGTGTGACTCATGATTTTGGGTGTTCTATTTGAGATACCAGTGAGAGCCCTGATATTTTGGGTGCTTTTACCTCTGCCCTCTGCCATAATAGGCACTTATTTATGCCACAGAAATAATCTCTCATGCTGTCTGATGCTGGGACAAACTGATACCTTCCAGAAGAAACAGCTCACAACCAGACTGGCTATACAGCTCTCCTAAACCCACTTCCATAAAAGGCTCTCTCAATATAAATAAACTTTCTGGGTTTACAAGTCACTCAGTGAATTTTGCTATATTTTTTCTTTGCTGATAGGCTTCATTTCTCATTAAGGTGTTCCCCATTCATAGCTGTTTAGTCAATTTCTCAAATGAAAACATATTTCATCTAGCAAACAATTGTTTGCACAGCTATATTCCCACGTGGGATTAACTCTTATTGTGACTGCTTTCTTTCCTCAATCATCTGGTATTACTTTTGATCCCTGTCGGGATGAGTGTGCGGTGAGTGTGAACAGTAAATGGGGAGAGGGTACGGTCAGGTAAACTGGGCCTTTGTTTCATTTAGAGACAGACTGGGAATAGATTGTGGAGTCAGGGTTGGGTAGGTTGGCAGAAGTAGGGAACTTTAATGGATATTTTAAACCTTCCTTCCTTTGACCGATTTGAGCCAGGCTGTGTGTGAGATGTTAATGTTATATTAGGCAACTGTGTTAGACCTGATCAGATTTAAAACAAATTTTCTCTCAACAGGTTCACATGAAGTACCTAAATGTCCCAGAAGTCCTACCCATGAAGAATGTGGCTCAGCTATTATCTAGTTTATTTAAATACCTTTGTGCTAGAAAGCCGACCAGGAATTTTAGGCAGCTATAGCTGAAAAGTATGTGATCATGTACATTTGATTATCTTATTTAACTGTGTTTGCGCCATAGCGATGTCCTGGGGGTTTGTAAACACAGATCTAAAACTTGCAATATTGTGAGTCTTAGGTAACATATGAAATCTATCTGGTGACCTGAAGAACATACTGCCAGAGCTGTCTACTTATCCCGAATTTTGCAGCTGAATAAGGAGAGGTATTTCTGGAGCAGCTGCGTTATTTGGATTTTCTCGTCTACTGGTTGGCAGTAAGAAGAAACAAGTGTTTTATTGAGCCATGTGGTTACATCTTTAATTGAGCTCAATCACTGCTGAAGTTTGGCTGAGCGCTCTTTAATTTTTTTAAGCACATCAGTACATGAGGGATGTTTCAGGCGTGAGAGCCCCCTTCCCTGTTGCCACCACATTCGGTGCCGGTGAAGCAGGGGACCTGGCGTGACGAGGAGCGTGGCTCCTGGGCCCCCCCACCTGGCGGTAGCAGCAAAGGGAGTTGGGCAGGCCTCAATGCTGGGTGCTCGCATGGTTGCCTCCGATGTCAGATGTTGGGTCCTGCGTTGGAGCAGGCTGTCCCTCATGGGTGGCCACCGGGGCGTCGTCTCCCTCACTGCTCTGCTGAGCAGGGAGGAGCTCGTTGGGCAACTACAGAAATGACTTCTCTTCTCCTTCCCCTCCTTCGTGTGTGTCTAGGGGCACATGCACAAAATGCCTGCAGAAACCCTGCACCCTGGCCAGGCCGTGGCTAGTCATACCAGTGCCATGTGCTCCTCAAAGCCTTGTGTGAGCATGGTGCCGTGAGCTCCAGCTGGGGCATGAGTTAAAGCTCAGGGTCACTATGGATTGGACACTGGAGGTCTGCATGGGTTGCAGCCAGCTCTTGCAAACATTTTGGCCACTGGAGGTTGTTGGGCCATCCCTCTCTTTCGCTCATCCCCCCAGGAGGAAAGGTGCCCACTAGGGGGCACTGGGAGCTGCAGGATTTTGCTAAACTGTTGGAAAAGATGAGCTCTTTTGCATGAGGAGGTAGAGTGATGGATGACAGTGGAGTACGGCCTTTGTCGTGGGAACTAACCAAAGCTCAGAAACAGGTAGGGAGAGATTTACCTTCCAGAAGCAATGAACTGACAGTGAGTAATGGAGAAGGTGATCTGTGGCAGAGGGATCTGGGTTCAGAGGAGGGGAAGAAGAGCAGGGCTAGTCTTCAAGGAAATTAAGTCAGCCTCCTACTCCTGCCCAGAGCATTCACCAAGTGAATCACATCCACAGCAATATCTCTTCAGAGTATTAGCCCCCGACTCACCCCAGCACAGCCACGCACTCACATGTAAGCCTTGTAATTGCTGCCGATTTTCTGGATTCGGATGTCGTACTTGGAGTCGATGAACGGCTCGGTGGTGGCGTAGGTTTTTGCCATGGCTACTATGCTAGCCATGTCCCGGAAGTCATATTGGCTCTCAACTTTGACCTTGATTGCCAAAATCCAGCCAAAAAGTGACAAGCGCAAAAGGAACAGGAATACTTTGTGAGAAGAAGTCATCTCAGTGTCTGAATCACACAATGCCAGTTAAAAACACATACATGGAGCTGAGAACAGAGCAGAGGTTGCGTGATTTGAAAAGAGACATTCCCAGGCAAACCTGACCCAGAGCAACTGACCTCTTTCTCCTTCCCTCATGTACAAGCCCTGGTAAACCTGGCTCCAAGAAAGTAGCTAGAGCTTTGCCCAGATGGCTCTTGCTAATGCTCATTAGGTTTATGATGCTTCAAAAACACATTTGATTTCTTAAGGGGCATTACTTCATTCAAGCATTGGAACTGCTATTTCCCATACTGGGATGGATGAGAACAAATTATTTTGGGTGGTCAGGAAATAGAAACCAATGCTAGAAAATAAATAAGAGAGCTGGTTGTCTGCCACTTCTAGTCTTCAGTTCCCCGGCATTTCACATTACCCCCATCCAGCTTTTCTTTGAGGAGTGGTGCAAGCCTCCCAGTGGGAAGCGAGCACTGAAGGAAAACGAGGCCTCTAGGGGAGTGTGTGATTCTTGGGGATATTTGTGAGCATGATGCCATGGCCGTGTGTGTGGAGGGGCAGTTGGCAAGGGGTTAGACTGCAATCACACTTGGCAATGAGAGAGCAGTAAGCTATGAACTGGAGATTTCCTGAAAAGCTAAATCTTCTCAGATTTGTATTCATTTATGAGAAACACTCTGAATCTTATCCAAAAAAAAAAAAAAGGAAGAAAGACCAAAAAAGCAAAAGCTCTAACAGAACAATCAAATCTCTGCTAAAGCTAATGGGGTAGGAACAGGAAAACTGAAGAAGCAGGTTACAAGACATAATAGACAACATGACCTCATTCATCCTATCAACCATAGCCTTTAGTCTGTTGGCAAAAATCTGTTTGGTGCATTGGAGAAACCCTTGCAATTCTTGTCCCTCAGTGTGGAACGGATGCAGGAAGGGCGGATTAATTGGCAAAAATATGTCCAACACTGTATGAAAAGAGTGAGCAAGTGAATGACTTTGCGTATTACATACGCTTTGTAGCTTGGCAATACTTACAGACCACAGTTGGGGACTGCGACCCTGCTTTGCTAAGTGTCTACACGCTTGTAACAGCCAGACGGTCTCTGCCCCAGAAGAGTTTCCCAGTTGCGTCAGTACGTGTGTTAAAGGAGGGTGATGCCAGACTACGTGGAGCCGGCTGAAGGAAACGCGTGCCTTGGTATTTAGTGTTTCTTCGCAAAGAACAAACAAGCGGTTTTACGTGTTTGCCTCCAGCCGTGAGAGGGCAGGAGCCATCTTCACTAGAAAACGGAGGACAAGTTTGTTGCTAACCTGCAGCTGGTGTATTACCCTATTTAGATGGTTTTGTTTAAGCTCCAGACATAACAGAAACCAGAGATGCAGCCGCATCACGCAAGAGCACGGCAGGGAAGCTCTTGAGACCTGGACAGGTTGTGGGGAAGGTGAAAAGTGCAACTGATTTAACTCATGACCCTTTCTAGATCTCCCCAAAAGAAAAAGGAGTCCAGGGCTTAAGTTCTCCTTCTGCTGAATGCAGAGTACCGCTAGGCCTCCTCCCCTAGAGTACCCCTAGGCGGAGAAGACCTGTGAGGTCTGTGGTCTCGCTGTTGAGGGCCTGCTGAGAAAAAGAGCAGAGGGAGACTACAGTTGTCTGTGTGAGAAGAAAAACAAAAATAAAGGTAATAACAAAAACAAGGGGGAAATGTAAAGACGAACATTGTACGTCACGCAGGAGGAGCAGCCTTGCTCTGGGCTTTGCTACTCCCCTCTGTGCCTCAGCAGGCGGGACAGCCTTGCCCGGCTGCTCGGGGCTGGCGGCAGGGCAGCGCGAAATGGGCACGAAAGCGCCGGTGGCGGCGGGGATGGAGGGGAGCACCCCCCCAACCAGGGGTGCTCCAGCCCGAGGAGGGCTCGCAGCCTCCCGGGGGGGGCAAACGCAAGCCGCGTCGAGGCCGGGTGTTTTTGTCGCGCAGATAAGAGCGGTGCTGGGCTGAATGACATCAAGTGAGAGAGTCCCACCCAGATGAGGTGATCACAGGAGGGACCGTATGGGCAGGCGACGCACTGGATGACGACATGTTCTCCCAGACCCTTTGGCAATAGGAAAAGACAAAGCCATTATATAATGACCTACTTGGAAGAAGGACATGTGTGGGATCTGAAACAAAGCGCTGTGCTTGTGCAACAGATTTCTCTGGGCCCCAGCTGAAGCGCTTGCATTCACCGCTCAGGGACGTTTGTCTCAGAGGTAGAGGAGGGGATGCCGCTTCCTTTGCAGGCTGGAATTAGACCAGTTTGCTCTTGCTCGAGAGGAATTATATGCTCTTCTTGTCCAGCCAGGCTTTTCCTCAGAAATGCAGCGTGCAAAGGAAAAGAAGGGTCCATATTTTCTTCCTTTCCCTCACTGCTCTCCACATGGGGAGAGAGTAGAAGCACATGAAGGCATTTTTTCCAATGGGCCTGGGGATTTTTGACTGGGTAAATGGGTAAAGAGGTGGGGTCTTACAAGAAACACAAAATAAGAAATGAAAACCAAAGGACAGTACTCCCACAACGCTACGCTGGTACACAGGCCTCTGAAAACAGCTTCGCCACCTCCCCTGACCTATGCCGGAGCCCTTCTTGTGGGCTTTTCAGAGAGAAAGCACCTCACAGAATTTCCCATTTAGGAGATCATGGCCCTTATTTCCCACAAGGCATCAAAATAATCACTCCACCAAAACTGAAATCTGAGCCTTCTTTTGTTAATTGTTGGAGCCGGCCAAATTTGACAAAAAAACAACTGTGTCCTGGGTTAATGCTGGTTTAGTTCAGGATACAGTTATTACTTCATAAACAGGAAGCGCTCAAGTTACAGTCAAATTAGATTTATTTTCCTGTCTTATCTATAAAGTCCACCATTTTATTAGCTTTCTACTTTTACATTTTTTGTAATTCATTTCCTCCTGCCTTGTAACCCTTTTACACGTCAATAAAATATCCATTCTCCTACCAGGAGAAAAAAAACCTAGTGATAACCAAAGCCAGGGTGGATGCAATGTGACGCCAGAGGGCATTTTGAAAGACAGAATCATTAACAATTGTTCTAGAGCAAACAGTTACCAATTTACCTAATGAGGGATAAATCTGTCTTCTAAAATGGCAGGTTCGCCAAAATGTGAAAGTATAACAAATGAAAGAAGTTGGAAAAATCAACAGGAAGCCATTTTTCTCTCTCTCTTTCTCTCCCTGTCCCTTTTTTTTTTTTTTGCAGTCTTCTTAGAATGAATGCAGTATCCCATTAGCTGCATAGAGGAGTGCAAACAGTGAGTGCAAACACAGCCCTTGCCCTATGGGCCTGTTTGCTTAGCTGTGCTGGCTGTTTGGTCAGCAATAGACTCATTCTAGAGCCATCAGCTGCTGTTTGCTGTAGAGTTTTAGTGACCTGTTGTGAAGAGTTTGGGCCAGTGTGTTGACAAATGCCTTTTCTGAGTAAGAAAGTGCCCCGGGATAGTCCTGACTTCCATCCCGGCTTTCTTCTCTAGCCCAGGTACAGTCTAGTTCTCCAGCATGCTCCTTGTCACTGCAGTGGGGAGGGGAGTTCGGTGGGATCTTTGGGGACATGCTCACACAGATGTGACTGTCCCTTTGCTTGATGGTGGCATTTCGTAGGCTGATACTCTGTGACCTGAAGTTAGTGCTCATCCCTGTCCCTCTCTTTCCCAAAAGATATTAACCCTGCTGCCCTTGCCTTGAGAGTGGCCTGTCTGGGCAGTGCAGGAGAGAGCGGAAGACCAGGAGCAGAGGAATGAGCCCTTCCCGCAGCTGCTGCTCTGGCTGCTCAGCCACAAACAAGGGAGGAAACTGCAGTAAAGACTTCTGCTCCCTCCCTGCTGCATTTCTGAGGAGCTTGGACCTTCTCTGGAGGCCCTCCTGCAAGACAAGATTTGCAGGGCCCTTAAAAACCCACCTTGGATATATCCAGGGAAATATGTGCCACCTGGACATATATTCGAGCACAGGCTTTTGCAGTGAGGGACCTGGGCAAGAATTTCCGCTTCCTCTATCTCATAATCCCCAAATCTATTGCCTGTTCCTCTCCTTCTTGTGTAGTCTTGTACATCCCAAATGTTCATGGACAGCAGGATCCCTGGGCTATGGCACTCCTCTCTCGTCTTTAGCCTAAGCGCTATCGATATTGCCTCACAGTCCCCTTTTGCTTTCATTAATTATGTGGCCACATGAAAAAACAGTCGGTCAGCCAAAGTGGTATAATTATAGCAGTTCGGTAGGGCTGCCCTAGCCTTACCTCTCTGAGTGTCTTCCAAAATTAGCTCTGCCTCACAATTTAAATCCAGACTACTTCAGAGATGGCTTGCAGAAGCAGTTTCTGTATCCAAATTGGTATCAGAGGCAGGTTCATTTAGAAGGTAAGTGGTCATGGCTGAGCTGGGGCAGGGCTTGGCTCTGTGATGTTTAACTGTGTCTTGGTGGGCCTGTGAAAAAAGCACTGTCTGAGTGTTTTCCTCCAGAGGAAATTGCATGGCAACACAGAGCTTGTGCTTTTTTATCTGTCTTGACCTGCTCTCAGCCTTTCTGTAGTGACTTTGCCATTTTGGGACAACTGGTCTCCAGAAATGGCTCTGCACAGAGGGTTTCCGGAGTGTCTCCTTCCCTCTGCCCCACAGTCATACTCCCCTTCTCAAAAAATACTAGATCCAATCAACACACATTCAGTTTAGGCCTAACTTGGACCCACCTCAAAATAATAAAGATACAGCCGAGTCTGCATTTTATTACTGACCTCAAACTGAAGTTCTCCAAGTATTTCACAGTCTTTAATGCATTAAGCCTTATAATCCCTACTAACTTTCTAATGAGGAGCTGCGGTCAGCCACACGTCTTGGCAGCTTTGGTCCCAAGTACCGTGGATCAGTCACAGTTTTCTGCATCCAGGAAAAGGTTACAGACTTATGTGCAAGAAATTGGGATGTTCGTACTATTTTCAAGATGGGTGGTACCTCCTCACTTATGAGTCAGGGGGAATGCAGTGATTGGGCTGCTTTGTTGTGAATGTTATATGTCAAGTCATTATTTTTCCTCTGTAAAAGAAAATATTTGTTCCTTGACAAACCAAGGCAGCCCTTTTTCCTTCCTTTCCTCTTTAGCACACTGGATTTTCAAAGCTCTCACTTTTAGAACATTCTATTTCCAGTCCCGAGAGAGACAAGGTGACGAGTTGTCCTTCCTGATAAAAACCTTGTGGTATTTTTACGTTACATAGTGGCTCTGTTTAGTTTGTACTATATTTATACAAAAAAAGAGAAGTCTTTCCCATCCAGTAAGAGAGAAAATAACTCTGACCACATTATTATGAACAACAAGTTTTTCTTCTACAATGTAATAAATTCATCTGAGCCAGGATTTGGGGACGTGTTTTCATAATTATGGGGCAGGCATGGATAGGAGGTGACTCTTAAACTGACCTAATTAGAAAGGTCTAAAAATAAAATAAGAGTAGCAACATACATATATATATAAATATATATTGAATTTATATAAATATAAACATATGAGCCACATGAATAGGAACTGTTTTTCCTCTCTCTGTGATCTGGCAGTTGTTTCCTTCCCATGATCTGATCAGGAAGAGGTGAAGAGGCTCTTTGAGTGAATTTGCAGTGCTGGGCTCTGTTCCTGGGGCACTTCAGGGTCATGTCAGCACACAAATTGCAGATATTAACACACTCAGAGCTCTATTCCTTGTAAAGGGCTCTGGCATTACGAGGTCTGGAATCAGGAAGAAGTATTATTCCTTTCTAACTCTAGAACCCACTCTACTCAACAGAGACCCCCCAGCTGTGTCTGGGGTAGGTAGGACTTCAACAGGCTCAGACTGCCCAATGCTTAAAAATGCCTCCATCTCTTACGAAGTGCTGGGCAAACAACAGTTCGGTTGTATCCTGGGAAGGATGTCTCCTCTCAGCATCCATCCGTAGCTTCCCTGGAAGAGTCCCTGGATACTCTTGCCCCATGAGCCTGGGGAACTTGAAACACAGCATGAGAAAGGTCCTCCTCTGCTGACTCCATTGTAAACTGTTTTCGAAGTAATATTTCTGCTATTGTATCGGTATTGATACTGTATTGGACAAGCTCACTGGATGAGCTTCCAGCACTTGCCAGAAATGGGGTGACTACAAATTTTGGAAGAGGGAGAAAGGCAGTCATGGGAAGGGCTGATTGTAGATTGTCTGGGGCCCCTTTGTCTCCTCAGGTGAATGCTCTTCTTGGTGCCTCTGTTCAAGTCAACAGAGAGGCTGTTGTTTCTGGATTTCTTAATGGAAATTTCAAAAGATGACTCTTATTGCAAATTTATTTTCTTCATCTCCACCCACACCTTACACGCAGGCATTATTTGACGGGCATGTCTATCACCAACGGTATGCTGCCATCCCTTTTGGTTCTGACACTGAATACTAACTGTTCCTCACACAAGATAAAGATAGTCAACAGAACCTGTTTCTTACAAGTCCTAACATAGTTATTTTTTATTTTGGTTTCAGGACCCTCTACTCTTCCCTTTGATTAAAAATGTGGGGATTGAATTTTGTGAAAATATAAAAACAAAGGATATGTGAAAATAAAAGTCTGACTATTATATTTATGCTCTTTCCAGGCACTATTCTAAAATAATAAATGCTCAGCACTTTTTATAGCACCAAGAGCTTTATGAACATGAATTAGCAGTAAGTATCAGGTAATCGTTATAATCCCTCTGGTTTATAACACAGAGAAACTGAAGAAGAGTAGTGAAAAGACACAGTATCCCTGTGAGTCAGTGGTGGAGCTTTTGGGGAAAGAGGCCTTTCTTTGTCCTGATATTTTCTGGCTCCTGGCCACTACCTCAGTACAAATAAAGAATAACAGTGTCTGGACTTCCTGTCTTTGCTCATTCTTCTGAGTCTTGGTACCTCCTATTACATGGGATTCGGTCGTTAAAAAAAAGAAAAATGTAAGTACTTCCTTGACAATTTCTCCTGGTAATGAGATTGTAATCTGAATGCTCATATCCTTTGAAGCACCCATTACAAGTATAGGTACATGGCTTGTTGTCTTGGCATCGTTTGTTGCAGTAAGTGCTGTTTTTAATACTCACATGTGTACTTTGGCTAATAGGTCGGTTATTTTATCCTTCGTTTCTTCTTACTTAGTGCTTTTGTACAAAATATGACCCGACGCAGGTGCTTTGTTAATATTTGCTCTCGTAGGCTCATCCAAACCAAAAGCAAACCTCTCTCTTTCCATATTACCTATATTTACATATTTTTTACAGCTAAAGACCTACTATTTCCTTCTAGCATCTCCACTTCTGAAGACCAATGCAAAGAAATCCTTTAGCTGTCTGCAGTCTCTTTATTATCATTGATTATTGCTTTTAAGTTATGATGGTTTAAAATCACCATTATGTCTTCTGGAAACTCTCCTTTTCTGAATTACTTAAAAAGAAGTATTTTTATTTATTATCTATGGTTGTTGCTTTTCTAGCATGTTCATACTTCTGCTTATCTGTTTTTGTCTTGCCATTTGCTGTGGTTTGCTTCTGTCAGCCCACTTTGGGCTTGAACACCATTATCTTAAAAATTAAATAAAATTAATTCCTGTTGCTTGTCTTTTAAACCAATTGACATGTTCTTTATTTTATTTTCACTTTCTCTCTTCTTTTTTCGCTCTATGCAGTGAAATGCAGTGGGACTTCAATAAGACTAATTCAATCAGTCTCAATTTTCCTTCAGGCTGTTTGTGGCTGGAGAAGGGCCCAAACTAAAACCATAAGGTCAACAACCCTTCTTTCCCCATCTACTGAACAGAGCAATGTTAAAACTCTGTGCCCAAATCCACATCCAGACTTTGCTAGTAGTCCCTAATTTCATTATGGGCTAAAGTAAACTTGGCCTCAGACCAGTTCTTTATTCTAGGATGCTGGCTGTCAGCCTATCTTCATTTGGAACAACTTCCCACCTAATCCCCTTGTTCTTCTGCGTACAATTGTGCCTGGAGTTTGAACAGAAACTCTCTTTCCATATAACTCATGTCAGCAAAAATCAACCTCATTAAAGAATAAAAGGTGAAATAAACGAGGAGGTAGAAGAAGATCTGGTGTCTACTACAGAAAACGACAGCTAAATATTCTGCTGAGAGAAGTCTTGTGTGGAAATACTGTTTAGATTGGGACATTTTCCTCTGACTCTGCCCCCATTTCTATAGCCCCGATGGGTCTTGGTGCACAAGAGAGAAACATGAAGCCCTCCCTATTTTACAGGTGAAATTGCAGAGCAGTCAGAGAGATCCAAGATTAGCGTTAGACCAAGATAACCCCCAGGGCCTCAGGGAGCTTGAAACCTTTCCTCAGGGGGAGAGTAAGGTTAGGTCTTCCTCCTGGCTTGTGCTGGTTTGTCTGATTTTGCTAATGAAATCATTCTCAAGGACATGCTGGGGACAACACTAGGCTCTTCACATCTACTTTAATGTACTGACACCTCCACTTGTTTAATATACAGAGCTCCAATATCTTAACGTAGTTTTCCTGCTCATGTAACGCTTGTTCTTTGATGCGGAAAGCCAGCTCCACCGCTTGCCAGGGATCTGAGCCCACTTCCTCTCAGGCTGCTACCAGCCTGACAGGGAAACACTGCAGCCACTGCAAGAAAGATTATGAGAACTTCCGTGTGCAATCCAGGAAGGCAGAAAGGACTTCTTTTTCCAGAGCTCGAGCAAACATGCTGTACCAAGCTTAGGTCTGGCATATCGGTATGTAATTTTCAGGCAAAGAGAGTACGAGGCTGCAGGAAGAAGGCCTGCTGACTTTAGGGAAACACTGTGACAGGGATATCTCTTACGAACGTTATGTACCACCTATTTGGATTCAGAGATGATACATCAGATTTTCCTGCTTCTGGATAAATCATGTTTTAGGCAGACAGAGCATGGTTT